GTTACATTAAAGGGAATTGCTGTAGGATGTTCGCTGTTCGGAGCTGGTTCTGCTAATACTTGGACGCACTGCGGAAGGGAACCTTCAAACCTGCGTTCATCAGTAGAAAACGCATACGGAACAGTAGTGGCCGAACGTAAGGCAAAACGTGTTGCATTTAAACTCTGTTTCAGCGACCGGAGGCACAGTGAATTAAGGAGGAAGTGAGACAGAGTGAATGAAATAATCTATACCGGGCACTTTGAAACAATGGCTACCCATGATTTATGATTAGATGAAACTTAAAGAAGTAACCAAAAGCGATGGCGATAACAGCAACACGACTAAGAAAAAACTGATCGTCCTGCCGTTCATTCGAACCCGCAGCAAGATTACCGCAACCAAAACAGATTCTGAGATCCCACGAACCAAGCACCAGGTTGAGGGAACCAATCTAAAGATTGAATCAACAGCATGAAATGCTACATTGGTCAACCTGAATGAAAATAGTCCTCAAGGGTTTACAAACGTAACGAAACTATCCGAAAATACGATTTACTGTGAAAATCGATAGGGGCGAAAATATCATCCAGAAAACGAGAAGATCTTGGCACGTGGGACTACAAGACAACCACGGAAGTTGGTGGAAGCATGGAATACGGTTAGAAACTTAAAAGTTCAACATACAGAAGTCGACCAAATCTACGCATCACGGCAAATAATTCAAACAAAAGCAAGGGATTAGCCAGCGAACATTGCAGCTAAGAAACAAAGAGACCAAAGGCCATCGCGTGCAAATTGCAAATGTCAAAATCAAAGGTGATCTAAACGTCCATCAATCAGGTAAGACGCCAAACAGCCAACCAACGGGGTTGGCCATCCTACCATCAAAGGTCATCCCCCGATAATGTGACACATAATCAGGAACACGACAGTTCTCAAACGCTTCGTAACGACATGACCCTAATCCAGTACTCACCAATGACGTCGCATCGACTTATGATGAAATATTTGAGACCAAATAATCAAGCTCAGTGAGCCAGTCGTCCATATAACCTGATGTGTCGACACTTTCAACCATATTACTTATAAAACTAAGCGAACAATATCCCAGTTTTGAGCAGCCGAAAAGGCTGGCCGACACGTTCCGCTGGGGGTGGTAGCATGCTAGCCATTGAATTTAGGTAAATATGAGTTTACCCAAGGTGTTCAACTTTGTCAATTGATTATCACGAAATGTCCGGTCGGGATGGTGTGAAGAGCTCATTACACCTTGTTTGATTGTTGTTGCGATACCGCTTCATGGTTTGTTCTTCAATAATCTTCCATCGATGATAGCTTTGAGTGATTACCGCTGGCAAACAATGGTTTGGCATGTGCAGCACACGCCAGAGTCACGTCGACCTGCTAGGTCTTCCTTCCTGCGCGGGCAATTCCAGTGGGGTACTGACTCACGAACCAGCTCACCTCCAACACGCTGTAGCCAGCCGGCTATGCTACGGAGGATTTGCTAACCAACTAGATGAAGACGGAGACCACGTAGGACTACCAAGGCCTCTACGAGCTTCCAATGTAATCGTTTCCATTGTTTTCGAAAGCAACAACTAGGGAAAACATATTCGTGCACGTCGTTTTTCGTCACGGCCCATGGTGGAAATCCATCCCAGATTCCTCTACTGTTTTTCATTATCCACTCATGTGTAGTGGATCGGTGTCTTCACAGGACAATTGGTGTTCAATACAGGAGACAGGAAAAGTGTCTTTGGGTGCGGCCTTGTTCACCGAGAAACATGAAAAAATAGGCGACAAGCTATCAGACGCAAAAAAAAACAAGCATCGACATCCTAAATTGTTTCCCTAAGCTTACCTGAGAGTTCTTCGGATATTTAAATTGATGAAAAAAATAGTGTAAATAGGTCCAATAATTGTCAATTCAATCGTCCGTTGGAAGTACCGATTGCGCTTTAAATTACTTTGATTATATACTACTCCCAATTCTCATCAGTAGTGTCACCATTAAACATATTATAAGAAGACTAGTTTTCGGCAGCTAAGCTGTTGCATCTACTCCTCTGATAAAAGAAGACTGTTCTGAAAAGCTGGTCAGAACTGAAATTATTAAAGCTTGTCAGGAACGCCACAAAGAAATACAGGGAAAATCTTGTGACATTAATTGGGCGCAGTTCTTGTCTGATGCCGTTTAGGACAGTGAAATTCCACACCTGAAATCGACACTTTTATTCGATGATCTGAGAGATCGACCAGTTTCTAAGTTTAGTTATCGGTCACTCAATCGCAATTCGCTTACCGTTTCACTCACATCTGAGCAAATGATTTCTGACAACCTGGTTTGTGTAATATCGCTCAGTGGTTAGAAGGTGAATTTATTGACCGGAAAGTCCGTGGTTCGAATCCAACCTCTGAATCGCGACTTATCCTGTCTAGGTTTGGGAAACCTGCTGGTATCCCAGCTCTCGTACTTCCTTCAGGTGGCATGGCATCTAGGCACCAAAACAGTGTTACAGCCAAAAGATTGCCTCATCATCATCTCATTTATGTGATCGTTGTCTCGATGTAATTCATTCGGTGTGCTATTGAACCAAGTTAAGCGGCGATGGTTCCTTATCCTCCTCATGTGCAAGTTATTCACGCGGGCGATCCATTAACCATGGTGTGCGACGTTCGATCATAACCGAAAGTTTCCCCGTTCGGATTCGGTATATACGTTTGGTGCTGATGATTCCCAATACGGGTGCAACAGTCCTACTGTGTTTTCCTGCCTACATAATGCTCACATCGTTGGATGAATTGAGCATTTTTATGTACTTTTGATTGTTTACGTATACACATTGTCCAATTGACTCAAGTAACTAACTGTTCACCTTAGCTAGGTAATATGTATGCGCTCATTCAACCGGTGATTCTGGTACCGTTTCTCATGAATCAAGCGTTCAAACAACTAAGTACGTCTTCTCATATTTGTGTTTGTCAATGCAATCGATAATAAAAATTCCCCTCGCTTCCTACTTCTTGCAGGAAGGAGCAATTTTTGGCAGCAATCAGGGCTCAAACTTCGACTCCTGAATGTGGGCAGATTGGCTGAAATTCACAAACAGGTTGTTGGTTTTCAGATGGTAGTGAATCTCCTATGTTGGTCAATTGGTGCAAGCACTATTATCCGTACATGAAGGATAACAAAGTTAGCGAACTGCACTTATTCGTGAGCAACTTTGGTTTTGCGCGAGGCTCACCTGGAATCCAGCTGAAGCTCTCGTTTTTTTACGATACCATGTTGCTCGCTCACCCATCAGTCCCGTTCTGACCGATTTCCAATGGCTATGCATCATGTTAAGAATGTCCTGGCTTTCAAATTGGGAAGTATACAGTTATCGATTGTGGCGGGTTCAGTCCAGCGTGAAAAGCGAGTGAAAGCCTAGAGCTACTGGACTAGACTTTTACATGTGCCAAAAGTTACATATCAGACCGTAATCAGATCCACGCGGATGGGATCGGCCAGCTATACAATCTCAATACCAGAAAGTACTTTTCGCATGATGTGCGCAAGGTTGACCAACACTTCGTTTGGCCCCAGCACATGTCCAGGATCTCTGCCTAAGTTTGTCCACAAACACGAGAAAGCACCAAAGGCCCATGGTGTTTGCAAATCCTTCATTTCATTTGTTCCTCATTGGGCAGAAAACTGAGCGAACACACTGAGCCTGTCAGCTAACTAAGGAGGATCACGATAACCCTTCTAGTTGTTGTTATTGTTACCTTTGACCTGTTCACTTGTAAGTTGAGGACTATTCTTTCTTGGGAACAATTTTCGCTAGAAATATGCTAAATGTTGTAACTAAGTGCAGTCCCCGATCTCTAGCAAGGAGTACAACAGCTCCATTACGAAAAAAGCGAGTGCAGAAGTCAACAAAGACATACCAACATTTAAAGCCCATTTATGACATTGATCCAGGCTATCCGATCGGCTTAAATGTTTGAGCACACATCACCGTCAACCATGCTTCTGTGGCACACATGAACACTCATCACCCATGGCCATTGCTGAATTGATTGACTGCTTGAGCGTCCAATCGGCTGCTGACTTTTCTGGCCCAGATGATTGCCGGCTTCCTCACTGCGATCTTGATGGGGTTTGATTGCCTCAGTAGGTTTCCGGCATACTGAGATTATTTTTAGCAATCTGACCATCCTGACAATTTAGTAAACCATATTTCTGGAATCGGTGATTTGAATTTTTTACGATCTCTTTCAATTATGTTTATGAACGAAATCTTTGCGGTAAATCTCACTTTTAGAGCCATTGGATGCAAGTAAGTACTTAGTAAAAAACAAAGCTACATACGGCATGTTGCAAAGAGGCAAGACTACATTTTCTTTCTCCTTTCGAGATAATGCAACATGCTTAGAAACTGACAGTGTACAATGGATGGTCCAATTCGTTTCTTCATTGTTGGCTTGTGGGAACACGTGGTCTTACCTTGGTGAGGAGGGTGGGTGGACTTGATAATAACATAAGCGTTGATGACCACACAGCGACAAACGCATGTCCACGCAAACGGCAGAAGACACATTAATTTTCTACGATTAAGAGCACGCGACCCATCTTCGGGACATATACGATGTTTTCGAGTCAGTCAGTTGTTTTTTGATAAGCGCCACCGTCGATCATGGAAATGCGTTGCAGTCACCAGCATGTTTCCCATAATCTGACATCTCCTGGCGTCTTTCAACTCATTCGAACTTACCTGAAATTCGAATAAGAATATTGGTCTTGTATATGCATGTGTTCACTGTTTGTACTCGAGCAAATGGTTGAGTTGCACATGGCACAACTTATTTTGCAGTCGAAAACTTCCAAAATTCAAGGATTTCAAGTGGAATTACACGCAAAACTTTGGAGCAAACGTCGTCGAAAAACTATCATTTGTAAACAAACGCGGCACATAAAATACGACGAAAAGTTTCAAAGTTTGAGAACCCATAAGAGGTGGACGAGTTTTCTTCTAGTCTGCTAATGCACTACATATATTTACTCTTGGCGAAAAAGGGTAGTTCGCATCGAGGAAACTTAAAAAAGAAAAAAAGTAAAACCAAACACTGCTGAATCGACCAACAATGTGTAAGGAGGACAGCTCTTCGCTGTGAAGTCGTTCATTAGCAAACAATTACTAAGCAGTTACAAGCTATTGTACAGGAAATTAAACGTCTCACATGCACACAGTTTTTGAAAACTGAAAATTCGCATACGTCTTCTCGCACTCTCTGGATATTCAATAACTATCACGCAATTGCAAACAAACACGACAAAGCAGTTCCACAAGTTCCTTAGTAAAATTCGCCTTCCGTTAGACGCAGGGTGGGCATCGTGACGACCACGAACCACTCGCTTGCCTCATCAGTAGTATCTGCCGTTGCAGTGGTAGACACTGTAACTCATTGTCACTGAATCTCATTGCTTGATGAAATCGATGGAAATCTAGGTTGGATGGTGCCCGTCGTGGTTAGTTGCACATTGGTACCCTTTACCGTAATATGCAGCACACAGACCTCCTCGTGTTCCGTTTGAGAAGATATTTAACGAGGTCTCTTTTGTATCGGGGAACCGTTTAATTTAAGTAATATTTCTGGTCTGTGAAGAGAAGTCTAGCGGGACAGCGTTTTTATGTGATGGTGATCCACTCCGAAGTTGTCATCGCCCTTCAAAACCAAAACTCCCCAGTATAAGTGGAAAATTACATTCTGGTTGTGATAAAAAACGGACCTACACCTCAACTAAATTGATCAAGTGCACTGAAACAAATAATGAGGCTCAAAAACTCTGGACACCAAAATATGCAGTCTGTATACGCTCACCTGCTCACTAATTTGGTGTTGGAAGGAAACTCGCTGGAATCTTTTGTTTATAATGTTCACAATCAACTGAATTTTTCGTACCAGGCCGGTGAGTTTCCCTTCAAAACCAAATCGGTATGCAGATGAGGATACGAGTCAAATTCCGTGCAATTTGGATTCAAGTCAAACCTTTGGTTCACAGAACCTGATGAAATCCATGAAGGGCAAAACCGGTCGTGGGCTATCGAAGAGTTATCGGCAAATTTGTGAGTAGCTTCCCTAATGAAAAGTTCATCATCATCATCCTCATCACCGTCATCATCGACAGCATGACATCACTGTTCAACGCCTATACTTCGCTGCCCATGGCTGGAATAATGTCAGGGCGCCCACACCTGGACAGGAGGATGGTTATGGTTATCAACCAAAGCCTTTGGCGAGAAATGCAAATGCATTACCATTTTTACGGAACAAGTTACCACATGTTCCAAACCGCAACCTGGAGGACCAGGAGAATGTGTCCTTCAGAACCCTGACGATTGACCAACCTGGTATGAGAGGCTCTGTGAGTGTCGTGGGGACAACCCCTCAGTAGAGCTCAATGGATCGCTGAGGTGCGCAAACCGTCACACTAGGGTAAGGTCTTTCTTTGTTTGTGACAGTATACCCAATGAAAAAATATACAATTCAGAAGTATTTTATGATCCCTAGAACATTTCACCCACCGAAACATGAGGTAGCCTTTGTGTGGAACATCCAGTTGTGCCTCCCGTGAAAGCCACATTGATATGCAAGTGAGTATATCCGTGGTAATTAGTCAAATTTTGGGTTCCGGTAGATCTTGTGGTTGACAGAAATTCGAGAACTTCACATAGCTGGTGTGCTTTAAGACGGGTGAAACCGGTCTTGAGCTATGAAGAGTTTTTCAACAAACTTATGTGCTGTGTATTAACTCTAATCAGCCTGTCTGTTTGGGGGAATGTACTGAACACTCAGTATATATTATTGTTAATGGGTTGGATACACAGCAGTGCTGATAACCGCATCCGGTATTTTGCTAAGCATTACAGAATCTCGATAAGTTTGGATAAACATACCCTACCGAAGTACTGATTCCCAAGTTAAGTAGGTTGCAGAGAATGACGATCATTCCCTTTTACGAGCTATCGCGTTTCTTGGTCATCGAATAGATATAACTGCGAAAAATTTACTAAGCACACTATTTTACGGCGTAAAACAATGTCGGTTGATGAACATATTTGGAAATCGATCGCGAAATGCAAGGAGGCAAATCTATGCTGAAAAGTTGGAGACCATTGTGCAGCCGTTGAGGACTCGTGACCCCACGGCTAGTTACTTGGATACTTAACCGTTCGTCCACGAGTGACTGACCAGCGGTGTAATTAACTCGCATTTGGACGAAGTGTTGTGCCTCACGTCCATCATTCAAGGGATTCACATCAAGTTGTCAAACCGTGTCGATTGACTCCTCGAGAGATGACTTCTCATGATGACTTCTCATGTCCAGTGAATTTTATTCTCCAGTTGCGCTACTTATAGAATGCTAGTAGTGTGAAGAGATTTGGGGTAAAGCATTTCCGCGACACGATGCTTTGCAAGATTGGGACAAACCTAAGAATTTCATCGTCCATATGCCAAACATTTGCAATAATGTTGGAAGAACACTGGTGTTTATATTCATATATTACCTAAAGGCAAATAAAGTGGTAACATACCATGCCGTCCGATGCCTCAAAGTATTGGAAGACCTGTGACTTATTTGGAATGATTGATTGGACCTATGATGTTTCACCGCAAAATTCTTCAAGAGAATCGGAGAAAAGTTAATGTGTGCATTGCAGTGAAGTATTATTTTTTTAAAACGAAAAAACTATACTGGTCAATTTTCTGTGATTTTCTAACCAGCTAGAGAATTGATCACACGAAGTGAGTTTGCCATCAACATTTCTGAATACAAAATGGAAACAGAGCAACTCCACAGCACATGGCAGATTTTACATTACTTTGACATGTATCAACTGAACAGTGTGTGAGCGCATGTAGGACGGTCGACAGCCCTTAGCCGTGTCACAAATGAAAGCGTATGGCATACCTTCGTTGTGAATGTATTTCACCAAGGGGACACCTGAATCACCGTTCTCACGCTCCAAACACCGTAAGCGTTGTGGTTTGTTTCAGCCGAAGACGCTATATCGTAAAATACCCACCATACTCAACGCTACCTGGATTCTTCAACAGAGTAAACACATGAATTTGCCCCATCAGTTATTATTTCCAACGGTGCTTGAGTCGGCTTGGTTACATCAGCCCACGGAACTGGACTTCATTCATAATTGTCTATGGTTAAAGTGCGATCCTAACGTCTATGGCGAAGGGTGACGAATACGCCTTTCGTATTCATGTCACTCTTGCTTGAAGGGTTTTTCTCTAGTCCTGGTCCAACTATTTTGGCTCATTCACATCAAAGCTAGGCAGCATCGAACTCGAGTTTGAGCGAATCACCAATGAATATACTTCCACCTACTTGGCTTGAAATCCCGGGCACTGATTCTCTGCCACTTTTGCGTAGAATACCTTAGCCAAGACAAGATGAAAACTCTTCATAAATAGCGATTTGAAACCAACAGCTAATCGATTATCGCTCTATAAGAAGGGGATATTTTCCAGGTTCGGGGACACACTTTGTGTGGCACACAAGCTTGCACAAATAATTTGAAACAGGTCGACACTGAATGACCCATTCTTATGAGCAATTTGCAAGATATTACATGAAATGACATCCAAAGATGAACGTTTTAGCTTACTTTTGAACGGACACTGAGAGTGTGAAGAGACCCAGTCCAGCGAAAACAGAATCCCCGGGATCACCCAGAAGAACTGGTTCCATTTGAAAAGCAATAACTTCCTGAATTAGACTGGACAGCACTTGTTGTAAAACGGTGATTCTTATGAGTTGAGCTATATGAAGGGACGTTTTTAAATCTCATGACTATCGTTGCAACTCAGACATCAGGAGACCTCTGTGTGTGTGGAAAATACTATGAACTGGATGGTTGGCCTGATTCCCCTTTGGGTCGCTCGCTAGCTTTAGACTGAAGACCTTATGAGTGTTTATCTCCAGATCACAACTTTGTGGGCTTCAGGAATAGCAAAATCTCTAGTAATTCACCCCTGTTGGTTAGCATGAGCAGACTTGGGAAGTTTGATGTAGAATTCACCCTTTAATTGTGAATATTCTATATTGAGAAGACGTACTTCTTGGAAATCATTAGCACTCACTGCACATCTCACGCAACTCCAGTAGAGACCTCCCGGACAGTAGTGAGTAGACTTGACCGTTCGACCATGAGCGGCTCCTCAGCGGTGTGATCAACTCACACTCAGTTTGGATATATCATCCGTCATCCTTCAAACACGGGATCCGAATCACGCGGTCATATGGGTTGACTCGTCCCCCGAGCGGCCACTTCTCAGATGGACGTTTCGTTAGTGATCTGGTTCTAACGTAATTAGGTTGATTATCAGGTGACAAGCACTAGCAAATGTCTGGTTTACTAGAATAATGATGAATATGATAGTTAGGTGCATTTTGATAAATATAGATACAATGCGAAGAGTGGGATAAGTCAAAAAGTGACTCATCGACCGAATTGTATGCCTATTTGTTGTGTGCAGTGTGAAGAGAGGGGTGTGCATTTGTGCTCGATGATTGCATGAACGTGAATGCAGGTTGATTTGATGTGGTTGAAGTTCGTAAGACTGGCTCGTGACGCAGGTGACAGCCGCGTAAATAAAAAATGGATGGGAAGTCGTAGTGTACGCATTGTCGGGTAAGGCTGTAAGTGGGACGTGATTCGAGTGTTTGTGACCCGTGACGTATTGTGTGACCACTACAGTTTCAGTTACTTTTCCTTCAAGCTGCAGTCCACACGCGTGACCACGTGATGTGGATTACATGAGTGAAGTATGAGCGGCACTAAATCCTGCCTAAATGAGAGTTGATCACACTGCTGATCAGCTGCGCGCAGCCGAAAGTTAGATGTTCAAATTGCTATCCGGTTGGATGCGAGTTTGAGACTATTCGGGGATGTGTATTGCTGATGATTCCCACTAACGATGAAACATTTGAGCTGGGCTTCTCGGATTTTCAACATGGTTTGGCTTCATTTGCAGAGTTGTCCAGTGTTTTCATCGGTCGTGCGGGATTGGTCTCACAGAACAAGATAATTCTTCTGTTTTGTGTAGTCTACCGTCACGCCGTTGAACTCTGTCCGCCTTGACGAATTCTTTCTGCCGATGATTCCGATGGACGTTTGTACTATTTCAAATTAAATGCACTTTCTTCCTTCGTTAAAGTAACCAACCTTCGAAACAGATTGCTTAGTAGAATGCAGCGTAAGTCAGACCAACATTTTCAATGCCTTTGTCACTACGCTGTTACTATACAGTAAAACCACTTGAAACATATCCTTAGCCATCGAGCGATCTTGAATAAGCCTGTGAAAGTGTTAATAACTCAGTGGCAATGTTTTCCGTCTATGAATCTGGGTTACTTCCACGATAACAGAGTTTTCACTATTCAGTGGGTAGAAGTGAGTGTGCTCCCCAATAGTGTAAATCTAGTCAACATCTTTTCGAATTACTGTCGTTCCATTCAATTTCCGTCTGTACATTCAGTCTGTCGGAAGATCAAAGAACATATCCTTGTATACGTTCATCACACATGATCTCGAGCACATTGATGACTGTGACCAGAAAGAGAGAGCAATAGGAACGTTCCTCTGGGATTTATGTTCACATGACCATCGGCAAGTGGTATCCTCATAGGAAATTTGCGGGTGCTGTGGAGAATACACTGACTCCATGATTTTGCCCTCCCCCTCTGTACAAAAGTCCCTCTACCGAAAAGTGAAACTGGACTACATCCGCTTATGCCTTCCGACAAACGGTTCAGCCCGAGTATATGAATGTGTACACTAAGAAGCTGATGACATTGGCTGGAAATTTGTGTTTGGGACAAAACCTAGTGAGTGTCTCGAAAAGGGAACTTGAACACATACTAGAAGGTGTGCACGTCATACCGATATGGTCGTTTAGTTTTCTTGCAACTAGCCCTGCAATTGGATCCGCTTCAAAGTGCTCCTGATATGGACGGACTTCTCTCAGCTATTGATCTTTGATCTGTGGACTCAAACGTGGGCTGTTCAGGGTACCCATTCTGTACAACTGCGTTGTCGAAGTTTAATGGTGGTCTGGTCTCGATGAATTATTCGAGAAGTTCTCGAATATGTTGTACACGTACGAATCTATCCCGAACTGTTGAGCCATGGAACTTCAGATGTACTTTCCCAACAGACCACTCCGAAACAGCAACATTAAGAAACTTGAGATGACCGATGCATTTCGTTTCAAGAGGAGACTTTTTATTTTACAGCAAACTTTGCGAATTTACCATTATCGTCAATGAGTAGAACTAAATCGATTCGATGGTGAACATATAGCAAAAACGTCCAGACCAGTGTGATGAGTTCCGATGGATATGTCTGAAGCCTACTTAAAAGAAACTTCCGCAAACCTGTCTTTCTACCACTGGATTTTTCTCTTGAGGATGGACTGAACTGTGCAGGTATCCTTGAGTAAACGTGCCAGTACATTTCCTGCTATCCGTTCTGGAGATCTATTTGACCAATGCATTGTACGGGAGAGAATCCGGCATTTCGAAGAGAGATCAGGTCCTTGGATTGAGTCTGTATTTTTCAGGTATTCATACACCAGTGGGCTGAACGTGACCAAAATTGTCAGCGACGGTTTCTGCTGATTTGGACGTTACGGTATTTCAGTTACCGCCTTTCCCGTCTGTCGGGAAGCGTCCAGACACGAAAAGTACATGCATCTCTGAAGTCACCGTCGGTACCACATGTTCGGGATACCAGGTGCGTGGGCTGAGCTTATCAAACGCGGCTTAACAGCATGAAACCAGCAGAAAGGGTGTGAAATTGTTCACGACGGGAACGTCGTTGGACAGAACGAACAACTGAATGACCATATTTGGCCATTCAGTCGTCCTATATGTTTGACCTGACAATACAGCCATGTCACTGGTTCTCTGTTTTCTTGCCGCATAGTCTGGCAGGCTGAGTTCGGGCGTAGCCAATAGACGGTCAACCAGGATACAACACCGTCGTCTGGTCCCTGCCTTTCCCATTTTGACTTTTTGTTTTCAAAATTCACCTGTAAAAAGATTTCGTTGATATTGCTATTCGAGCTCGAAATAGCCGAGTGGTTAACGCACAAACTTACTGACCAGAAGGCCCATGGCTTAAATCCACCCCCGACTCCTCGAGTAGCGCCCGTTCAGGCTTGAGAAATCCGGTATTATCTCGGGTCTCGTGGTTCTTCTGGGTGGCGTGGCAGCTAGGCGAGATGGCTCAGTGTTCAGGGCACGAATTTCCTGACTGGAAGGTTTGTGCATCGAACCCGACTTCTGCCTATCGACTACCCCTGTCTAAACTTGGGCAACCTGGTAGTATCCCAGCCCTCGTGCTTCATTCGGGTGTCATGGTAGTTAGGCACAGAAACGTTGTTACAGCTGAATGAGTATCTTTATTATATATATTATAGTGTGTTGCAGCAAACTGCTCTTTCTTGGGAGTCTATAATTTGGTCTATAATTTACCCACTAACAATACCGGTTGTCTAGCACAAACTTTCCTTGTTCTTTGTCCAACTTGGAAGATTAAATTGACCTCGCTAACCAATCTTGTGAATTCCCTGACTAAAATTTGAATTTAGTCCGACCAGCGACGCATACAGTCATCAACACTTGAGACCTATTGATGAATTTTTCAAGACCACGATTTTCCGGTTAATCGAGAAAACACCGGTTTTAGATCCTTCCGGATAAGTCGGGGAATTCAAGCATGGTTCAAACGGACCCGCTCAAAACTGAGCCCATTCTTCCTTGTACCCGTGATTTTGACTACGATGAGACGGATGTTCGTTTTTTTCGTAGATTGGTTACTAAAATTCTCTATATTTCTGATTCGCTTACTTACTGATTTGGTTTGTATTCTAGGGTACCAGTTGGGCACAGTTGCCGTCGACTTACCCCCGTTTTTCTGTAGAATTCATCAACAGAAGTAAAATGCTTTGGGTTCCTTGATCAATCAAACTGAACTTGATCCTGGTTTTTGCCATGGCTCACCTACCTGATGAGTCCTCAAGAAAGGCAAAGTCAGTCGTGGGCTGTCGATGAATTTTCAGCAACTTTATGGGTAGTGTGCCACACCGAGTCCTGAAGTTCTTTCAGCACGCACAAGTCTTTAGACTGTCTTCGGCGGTTAACTAGAAAGGTAGCTAAAATACAGGTACATATATTTTTACGAAGCAGCCATGCAGAGCGGTTCGTTCTCAAAACAATGCAATAGAAAAACAGAAAGATACATAGCAGATGGCCGACATATGGTGCTTTTTTATGAAACCCACCTTAGAATGAGACTTTAATGTGAATCTAAACACCAAAGAGTACCATCCGTAGTATTGATATAGTGTAGGCTGCATTGTTCGGCGCTGAGACCTCAGTTCAATCCTTGTCACCAGGTAGTTGAAAGGCGAGACGCATGTTTCCGCCATTGTCAGATGATGGTCGGACAAGCTACGCGAACAGGGACCACTTTTCACGAGTCTTGACCGGAAGAAAACCTGCATTTCTGTCAACTCTTGCACATGTCTCGAGAATGTCTCGCTCGGGAGTTCTTCTTCACTCTAGATCGTAGGTACTGCAAAGATGTGTTCGGAACAGTATATCCGCTCGCATAACGCTACAGTCAACTCAAATCAGCTTGATGCAGAGTTGTACAGTCCGCAAACGACGATCTTTTTTGGAACACATCGAAGGAATCACTTCAGGGATTTGCCTTGTATAATACCCGGGAATGATGTGTGAGCCAAAGCAATATGCCTTGGCTATATCATCATCATTTCCACGTTAGTGAACGGAGTTTGCCTAGGGAGGAAAGCATATTTTTCAATGGCACCGCTAAACAGACACATAAACGATGCATGCTAGTTTTACAAGTTGAAGGATCACTCCGGGAAATGCACAGGACTTTAGAAGAACACTCAATAGGCAGGTAGATTTTCTATTTCTACATTTCCAAGGTCAGATAGTATTTCGCCTCGAGTATTCACTGAATACAAAGGTGTCGCTTGCCGAGGTCAGTGGCTACATTCTACCTAACCTGTTTCCACCAACTCAATCAAAACTGTAAAGAAACGTACAGCAGCCGGTGCTAGGATAAGCTAAGTTCGTGTAAGCTGGGGCTCACTCACTGTCCATCGTCCAAAAGTGGATGCAAAATGTCTGTATTTCAGCGAACACGTAGCTGGTGGTTCTAAATCCATCGGTTCCGTGTAACTTCAAGTGAATGACGTCCCGTACGCAGTTCTTCAGATAGATTAGGTGCAGTTGGCTGATGAAACTAGCAATCAAGGTAACTCTCCAAAACCCCACTGATCCAACTAACTGACTGGTAGACGCATCCCGTGTCTTATGATACATTATTGGCGCATTTCGCCGGTTGCCGATGGTCGGAGGGAATTACATAAACTAATTGACATGACAGTGGAAATCAGTTGGAAATCATATCACAAATGATTCATACTGAGAACTTATTTCATCACTCCGGTTTCAGAAGTTCAAGTTGAAAGTACAACACAAGGAGCTCAAGGACCTCAAGCAGATGAGTATCCATTCAGAATAATATCGGTTACCTGAATGTCGAAGCAGTTGGTATACGAAGCGAATTAGTCCGTCGATAGTGGCTGAACATTTCGAGCCCCCTGCATAGTCGGTAAAACGTTATCGCTTAGCATTCAGCCTAATATTGTCCCACCTTGTTGCTCATGTAGTCCGAGCAAATAAGATTTTCGGTCAAGTACATCGAGACCTGAGGCCAAACGCAAGTCGACCGAACCCTGAAGGTACCAAGTGAGTGATTCTCATCAGACTGTAGGAGTTATCAGTCAGTTGTTTGGTTTCAGCTGACTACCACACATGATCACTGTTATCTGTCAAAGTACTGAAAGGCCACCTGTTTGTACTTAAATAAGGTGCTGGGGAAGCACTGGCTCACAATAAGTAAGCCGATTGCCTCTAACTTTTGGGTCGGCTGACCAGAATGATGGAGTTGCTTCGCTTCAATGAGTTTAACACTCAGTCAGTCTTATCAATAGCGAAGCGGAACTTCACGTGCAACGAGGTCCATTTTGAACTTGGAAATGTGCTTCACTTTGAAGATGTGGTGTGACCGAGGGGCAGAACGATTGACATAGCTCACGGACACCCGGTTGACCGAACTGACGGGATAGTAAACTCATTCCTCCGGTAGCGATGAATGTGGCAATTAAATCGATCCGATAGCCGAACCTCACCCTGGTTGAAAAACATAACTTATGAGTTGGTCCCATAGATGTTAGATGCAGTATTTGTAGATCGAAGAGTGGATCAATCTCTCTCAAAGGAACTTGAAAAACCTACCACCTTGTCATTTTGGGTGAGGGAAAGTTTCCTCCGATATCTAGTCCTCGCGATTCTGTTTTGCAAATAAGTATATATTCGATAATTTCATGCCATTTGGTTTCAAGTAGAACATAAGGTTCACGGAAACCCGAGGACTGCGCCTATCTGATGTGCCCCAAAAAGGGCGAAACCGGTCATGGGCTGTCGACGAATTTTCAGCAACCTTATGAGTAGTGCATTACAAATAGCTAAATTGGTTCACTTCGATAGAGCTGAAGACCGAGTCTTTGAAGACACAAGAAACGGTGCTACCGTTTCATATCTGCGCCAACGTCGAGTACAAGAAGATGAAAGATCTCAATCAGGTAAGCGTTTTCCAAAAGTCATATCGATAGAATTGATGCTGGGATGGTATCGCCGGCAATCGACGCGGATTCCTCCCTGAATAGTGGCTTGTTAGTGCTCTAGTTGTAACGTAACCAGGTGACTAATAAATGTCTGTTTTACTGGACTGATGGTGAATGTAATAGTTAGGTGCACTGTATTAGGAAAACCAGCCCCGAACGTAACGGGACTAAACAACAGTCGTTTTCGTTAAGACAGATTTCATTGGGTGTTCTTCACTCGCCCTTGACGGATGAGTTGTATTCTTAGTACCACTTTTTCGACCCGTTTGTACGCGACAGTGATCAATAGATCAGCCAGTTCGCACGTTAATTGACTTTCCTGGTTTGGCCAAGCGCACCAGGCTATCAATCGGCTATCCAGCCAGGGGTTCACCGTGATAAGAAGGCATTAAGAAGACTGTGGTTCACAATAGTTTGTAGTACGGCTGCTACATGTGTTCCGTGAGGACTTGTGGAGCGTGTGTGTGTGTTGAGCCGAGTTGTGTGCCTATTTGTTGTGTACAGTGTGAAGAGAGGGGTGTGCATTTGTGGTCGATGATGACACGAACGTCAATACAGATTGATTTGATGTGGTTGAAGTTCGTAAGCCTGGCTCGTGACGCAAGTGACAGTCACGTAAATAAATTGGGTGGGAGGTTGTCGGCTCAGGTTGCAAGTTGGAACTGTCACGTGTTTGTGACGCGTTACCTCGACAATTGCTGTCTCCCTAGCGAAAGAGAAAAGTAAGTGTTGATGAAATGGTAGGTGATGTAAGCGGCCACCAAACGGCCTAGCCAGTGGACGTGTCCGCCAGAGCAGGTAATGCGTTGATCAACTAAATCAGTGGCGGGCGAGACAGGTGGAGACGTAGGAGGATGTGGGGAATTTACTGATCGGAGTTGATACAGTCGGTGTGGGAGTGCTGGATTCCATAAAATCAGTGTATGCCGGTGTAAGGCGGTCACGGCAACAGGTTTGTCGAGTAACTGGACAGTGAAAAGTTTTTGGAACGAGAAAGAGTACAAAAAGTCCCTTCGCATGGAGGTTGATAAGGCGGTTTAACGAGGCCGCAACGTATAAACCCATGAGAACAAGTTGCAAGGTCTGGGAGCGATTTAAAGATATTTTGTTCGTTGTCGGTGGTGATTGATAGCGTAGTTGAGACATGTGAGTATCTAAATGGGCTGCGTAAGTGACAGGGTCGGTAGAAGGTTGAGATTTTGAATTGGAAAATTGGTTTGGGATATGAAGAGTCGTGCCATATTGTTAATAACTGCACACCGTCTCGTGTTATCTAGGCTGATCTGAATCCGCTCTCCACATGCTTACCAGTTCTACGCTCTCTATTGTATTGACGCTGCGATGCTAGGCGACTTCCAACAACTCGGCCACCAGTTGTTGTGGTTTGAATCTTAGTTCACGTCTCAGAATGCCCACAATTTCCGAATCTATCTAGTACATGCTCTACTATTGCCGAATCTTTGACTATCGTCTGATATTTATCTATGTTTCTCGGCGGTCTGTTATTGCATCACTTATGCTCGCCGATTCTGGTGTGCAATTCGC